AGTTATGCATGGATCTTATTTCGGTTGCATTTTCAATCACAGGCTCTCCAAAGCCTGAGCCCGAAGCCCTACAGTGAAACGGAAAATTCGGTTGCCCTCAGTTTTCCGGTTTGGTTCAGTGCCGAGGTCAGTTCAGAGGAAATCCCTGTTGTTGACGTTGTACTCGTAGTCTGGAGTTTCAGTTCAGGTGTCTGAACATGTGTACCAATACCTTCCTACAATCGCTAAATCACGATGCTATAGTATTATCCGTGTGCTAACCCATTACAAGTTAGGGACCCTATATCAGACCAGTGAAACCGAGATCAAGGCTTTGAAGGGTTGAAAAGCTTTAAGTGCTGAGAGGTAGTGTTTGCTTCAGACTCCTAGGAATTCTGAGGCGTCCGTGGACTCCGGTTTAGGGTTTAGGATGCAGTGTTTCGGTTTGGGAGTGTGTGGGTCTGGGGTCATTAGGATTGGCGAGCCTTTAATTAGGAGGGGTTGAGGGATTTCTTGGATGAGGTCAGAGCAAATCTATATCATCATTGGATCTGTCGGTGCTCCTTTTGCCAGAGCTGCTTTGGAGTTGAATCCTCTGGTCCTTCAAGTTAGCTTGTGACTGAAGTCCCTAAACCCTAAACCCCTAAACCCTGAAGGAGCCGTCTTTCCAAATCCTTGTCATGCAGGATGACCCATGCCTGCCTGGACGGATCCGTTTCGAAGAGGACGAGAAGGACAGCTTGCAACATAGGTTTTTGGTGGTACAGAACTTAGACTGTGCGTTGTGTTGATTCTTTGGGGGTGCAGAGCTTTGGGGAAAGGTTCACGGCGACTTCAGGGGCTTGTGGCTTGGGTTTAGGGTTTAGGGTTTAGGGTTCAGGGGCTTGTGGCTTGTTTTTTAGCATCGGTTGCGTCTTCATATCCCCCGCAGCCGAGTTTCCTCAGAACTTGCCATGTGCTGTTTTCATTACTCGTAACCCCAAACTAACACCCAAAACATGCACTCACCCAAACGGATCCCTATATGTATATATATATATATATAATTATATATATATATATATAATCCTGTTCTAAACCTCAAAACCCGTCAAAGCCCCTCCAAGGCCAAAAGCTCATGGTGCCGTCTAAACGCTGTGAGCTGTATTGCCCCTAACCCGAAACCACTGCAAGACCCAAGGACAAAAACAGAGCATATTTGAAGAGACACGTGTCAAGTGTACATCAAGACGGCAGGAGAGCGAAAGGGTTCGCAAGCTATGTTTCAGTTCGAAGATTGGATTCCTGAAGTGTGGATATAAGCCGAACTTTCAGGAAATTGCGTTTTCTTTGTTGAAGACCCTACGTTCAGGCCGTTCTCTTGGGTTCTAGTTGCTTCAGGGAGCCTGGCATGTCGATCGAAGTAGAAATTGGACTGCTCAGCGGCAAAGCAGCAACTGTCACAGCAGGCCTGGATGAAACTGTGCAGACGTTGAGCCGACGAGCGCAGATCGCACTTGGAGCCGCGAAAGGGCAGCTGCTGGACTCTTCTGGAGTTGTTCTGGATGGAAGCCAAACGATTATAAACGCTGGGATTCAGAATGGGAGCTCGCTGAGATTGCACGTAAACGGACTTAAAGTTCAAGCCGCTCGCGGCGCCTTCGTAGCCATCCTTGGCGATGGATCGGTCGTGACCTGGGGTTTTGCTGGCTTTGGTTGCTATTCTTGGTGATGGATCGGTTGTGACCTGGGGTCATGCTGTCTATGGTGGCGACAGCGGTGCTGTGCAGGCTCAGCTGAAGAATGTGCAGCAGATCCAAGCCAGTGGCGGCGCTTTTGCTGCCATTCGTGGTGATGGATCGGTCGTGACCTGGGGTCATACCGGCTGGGGTGGCGACAGTAGTGCTGTGCAGGGTCAGCTGAAGCATGTGCAGCAGATTCAAGCATCTTCACAGGCGCTTGCTGCCATTCTTGGTGATGGATCGGTTGTGACCTGGGGTTCTGCTGGCTTTGGTGGCGACAGCAGCGCTGTGCAGGGTCAGCTGAAGCATGTGCACCACATTCAAGCCTCTTCCGGCGGCGCATTTGCTGCCATTCTGGACGATGGGTCCGTTGTGACTTGGGGTCATCCTCGCCGAGGTGGCGACAGCAGAGCTGTGCACGGTCAGCTGAAGAATGTGCTGCAGGTCCAAGCTTCTGACGTTGCTTTTGCTGCCATCCTTGGCGATGGATCCGTGGCCAAAAAATGGAACTACAATGGAGACTAGAGGTAGGAACCCAAGGAACCCAGGCACCTTGGATTTCTTCATGCTGACCCTAAACCCGGAGCGGACTCGTTAAGCGGCTTTCGTGTTTTGTGGTTTCCTGGGTTCTTGGATTCGTTCAGGTTGCCAGTTCTGGTGAGCGCTTCGATGTGGCAGGCTTCTGCACATCTTTGCTAGGGTTGCGCCTTCAGAACAAAAACTGACTGTCATGCAAACCCAGATCAGTTCTCAGTTGATCCTGCGCGGCGCTACTGTCGCCACCGCGGTCAACAGCACCCCAGGTCACTATATATTATCGAATTTATAAGGTATCCCCAAAAAGGAACTACAATGGAGACTGTAGGTACACCCTATAAGCCACGAAACACGAAAGCCATACCGGGTCCTCGTCAAAAGCTTCGGCGGAGCATTGCGGTTTCGCCACTTAGAGGTGCAGCTCCTACAAGAAAAAAGCTGGCGTAGGATCGTTGTTTTGCACATGGCTGCCCCTAAACCCTAAACCCCTAAACCCTAAACCCTGAACTTGCGATGTCCAAACTTCGGCTGTCTTAGATCGGGCCAAGGCTGAGAGGTAGCACGGCTACATGTAGTGTGTCACTGCGTGCCTGTAGACCTTATGTCTATATCATTGTAGGCAGTGCTGGGCGGTCGTACAGTTCAGAATTTACGGCTTAGAGATTGAGGATGTCAAGTAAGTGTTAGGGACTTGGGGCGCATGAAACCATCGTTGCACCTGATTGTGGGCGTCAGCCGCTGAATTAGTCCGAAGCCGTTGAACGACCCACAGCCACCAGACGAAGCTGGACGTCTCTCCGACGCGCCTCCAGTCCATGAACCGGCAGTCTCAGGCAGAAGGGTTTTGGGTTTGTGGTTTACGTTTAAGATATTAAAAGTTGAAGAAAGATGAAGGTCCAGGGACAAAGGTCAGGGGAGATCATTTTCAAGCATGTTGCGGCTTCTGCCCGTACCTTATTCCCTACCGCTTGCAGACCAGAGCTCAGCATCAGGATTTCACAGCCATTTCGAATCAGCCAACCAGGCCAGTCATGCATGTGTGTGCGCCTTTCATGTAGCTTTGTCCGCATATGTGTGGCTATCACTCTCAACGAAAGCAAAATGCCCCTGCATGATGAACCTGCGAAAAGACGTTGTTATCAAGCACATATGAACAAACACACACGCACTCTCTCTTTCTACTGGCATATTCACGTGTATGTGTGGGTACGGTGTAGATATCTACATGTATACATACATCCATGCATGCATGCAGACACACACACACAAACAGACAGACAGACAGACAGACAGACAGACAGACAGACCGACAGACAGACCGACAGACCGACAGACCGACAGACCGACAGACCGACAGACCGACAGACCGAC